ATCCATTGCTTCTTGTTCAGATGCCTTGGAGAATAGTTTGACTCCCTCTTCTTTGTGGCAACCCCTGAGATACTGGAACACTGCTATCACGTCTCCTCTAGTCCTTCTTTCTATTAAACTAGACATACCCAGTTCCTGCAACTGTTTTTCACATGTTTTAGTCTCCAGTCCCCTAATCATCTTTGTTGCTCTTCTCTGCACTCTTTCTAGAGTCTCAAATGGATAGATGCATGAATTAAAGAATGAAAGAATGCACATGATGCTTTCCCTCCTTCAGCCCAATCTGGAAATCATTTTGCTTTATTTTCCCTTGCTCTTTATTTTCCCTGAATGTCAAAAGGAGAATTAGAATTAGAATCGCAAGAGCTGGAAGGAGACCTCAGAGGTCTTCTAGTCCAACCCCCTTGGCTGTCCAATCTCTTCTTAAAACGTCCAGTGATCCACAACTTAAAAATAGGGCTTTCGGGGTCTGGCTTGGTCCAGTTCACCCGCTGGACTTTTTGCACACCTGTTGTCTCCTGCAATCTGTCAGTGCCGGCCTTGCAGACCCAAGGCAAGGCAAGCAAAAGTTGGCCTTGGCCGAGTTCAAAGAGTGAAAGTTGGAGCTCTTTTCAAAATAAAAGCAGGAGAACTTGTTCAGGAGTTGAACTTCTATGAAGATTTTCAGTCATCTATAGTTGCCCCAAAACAGTGTTTTTTTTTCCAAACTGGACTTTTTTTATTTTTCTAGAACACACTGGACACTCATTTGCATTGGGTCTCCTAGTGGAGCAGGGGGTTGGACTAGAAGACCTCCAAGGTCCCTTCCAGCTCTATTCTGATCGATTAATAGAAGCTTCTTCAGTGGGAAGCGAAAGAAAGTCCAGTTGCCTTTTACAAAAAGTACCTTTGGCATAACCAGAACCTGGATCAGCGATCGCCAACTGGTGGTTATGGTCCACGAGAAAAGTTTGGGGGTCCACAGAAAAATTATTTGCATTTTTTATATTATATATCCTCAAATTACAGCCCCTGGGCCGGATACGTGCAATGAACACTTGTGTTGCTGCAGTGAGTCTCCCCCTTTGGGGTCTTTTTGTGTGTGGGGGTAGAAATTCTGACTTGGGGTCTGCTTCAGCCTTCTGGTGTGGGGTTTTGAGCGAAGGCTGGAGGGAAGTGCCGCTGATGGCAAAGAGCTGGAGGGCCTCGTTCCAGTGGGGCTGCATCATGGCTTGGAACTGGCTGACCATCTCAGCCCACTGAGCCTCCAGGCGTCGGTACCTGGCCTTGCACTCCCGCAGGTCTTCCCTCTGCTTGGAAAGCCTATGCTCGTAGTCCTCAGTGAGCCTCCTTCTCGGTCAGATCCAATTTGAAGCTGAGCTGTTTTGCCAATTCTTTCTCATGGTGGCTGCTTAGCTCCAACATCTGCTTCCTGTTGAGGGCCCTAAGGAGCCCTAAGGGGGTTGGGAGGGGTGGCTGGGAGGGGAGGGGCAAGAAGAGGCTGGCGAGACGTCCCTCGATGGGAGTGGCATTGAATTGGCCATGCCCACCCAGTCACATGACCACCTAGCCACGCCCACCCAGCGGGTCATTAGGCAGATCATATTAGCGGTCTGCGGTATTTAAAATGATGGATTTAGTGGTCCTTGAGGTCCGAAAGGTTTGTGATCCCTGACCTGGATGACTGAGAATCTCCACAGACAAATTCTGGAGATTGAAATCTACTCATCTTAAAAGTTACGAAGGTCAAGGGACCTACTCTAGATGAGGAAGCAGGTCAAGCCTCAAGCTGCTGCTGTCAAATCAGATGACCTCCTTAGTGAGGCCCCTTATTTTGACTTTTTGAGTTCTTAATTTGCATGCCGAGTCTGTTTTTGTTTTCTAATTATGTCCCTGAAGAGTCAAGAGAGTGGAGAGAATCCATTCGCGAGGTTCTTCTCCGTGCCCTCGAAGAATGCCATGTTTTGGTTTGTTACGTGCTGGTCATCTCGCTCGCTCGCCACCCGTCTCCCAAGGTCTGCCACACACAGATAAGGAGGCCTTCTCCTATGAGAGGGGATCCTATAGTGCCAACATCTTGAGATCTTTGGTGGAATTTCCCTACACAACTTCCATCCCTGGATTCTCATTGTGACACTGAGATAGAATATAGAATATAGTTTATTGGAAAGGAAGGAAGGAAGGAAGGAAGGAAGGAAGGAAGGAAGGAAGGAAGGAAGGAAGGAAGGAAGGAAAAAATAAAAATAAATAGGGAAAGAAGAAGAAAGAAAAAAATAGAAATGGAGAGAAAGAAATAGGGAGAGAGAGAAAAAGGAAATGGGGAAAGAGAAAAGAAATAGGGAAGAGAGAAAAAAGGAATGAAGAGAAAAAGAAAAAATGGGGAAAGAAAAGAAATAGGGGAGAGAGAAAAAGAAGGACTGAAGGAAGAGAAAGAAAAAATAAGGAAAGAAAAAATAGACAGAGAGAAAGAGAGCAAAATAGGGAAAGAAAGAGAAAGAAAGAAAGAAAGAAAGAAAGAAAGAAAGAAAGAAAGAGGCTCTTTAGCTCACAAGAGTACATCTGTCGCATAAAAAACTAATGGGAAGAGACTCAAAGGAGCACCACAGTTTTCAACATTAATGGTGTATACTTAGTCCTTGACTTATGACCAATTTCTCTTTTCCTGGTGAGGTTCAGCTGCTCAAACCAATAAACTACCTTTCCCCTATAGCCTTAGTGCAGTTTCCCAATGTTTTCAGCTTTGTAGAGGGGGAGGGGGGTGGTTCGTGCACATGGCCAGCAAGTGTATGTATGCACACACAGCTACATTTGCACAAGCGGCGTGCACGTGTGTCTGCCCCTCACACAAACAGAGCATGGCGCAAACACAGCCTTGCGCACTGCTCATGGAGAATTCTGGAAATTGAAGTCTGCCGGTCTCCAAGATGCCAGATTTGGGGGAAAAAAACCACTGCCTTAAAGATAGATTAAAAAAAACCAAAATTTTGCTAGGAGTGTTTGTGTCCTTTTTATTTCTTTAAAGAATTCTCCCTTCTCGGTCAATTGTGGTGAACACTTGGATGGGGGACCAAAGGGAAATCCCAGAGTTCTAAGCCAGGCTGGGAAATCAAACCCAACTCCCCAACTCGGCCATTCAGAGCAAAGCACTTCTATGGCAACAAGGAAAATAAGGGTAACACAAAGAATTACATTGGCTGATTTTTATCCAGGGATTATTAAGGGATGAGGTGGTTCGGTGGCTAAGATGCTGAGCTTGTCGGTCAGAAAGGTTGCCAGTTTGGCGGTTCAAATCCCTAGCGCCGCATAACGGAGTGAGCTCCCAGCTCCTTACTTGTCCCAGCTTTTGCCAACCTAGCAGTTTGAAAGCACGTAAAAATTTCAAGTAGAAAAATAGGAACCACCTTTGGTGGGAAGGGAACAGCGTTCCGTGCTCCTTAGGCGTTTACTCATGCTGGCCACATGACAACAGAGACGTTTTTGGACAGCGCTGGCTCTTCGGCTTTGAAACGGAGATGAGCACTGCCTCCTAGTGTCAGGAACGACTAGCACGTATTGCAAGAGGAACCTTTAGGTTTACTTATCCAGGAGTTAGGGTTAGGGTTAGTCATCCCCCCCCCCCCGGCCAAACCCCTTTCCTTTTTCAACTTCTCCCTTTTTTTGCACCACGCCTTTAACCCCATCCCGCCTGTCAGAGTATATTCATTAGGCAACAAGGTCAGCCAATGAACAGGCATAGCAACTGGTCCCAGCCAATGAGGGCTGTTTGGAAACTGAAACAGTTTGGAGCCAGGGCGTGCCTTAGCCCTGCAACTCGTGAGTCTGTGGTGAGATCTAAACTAGTTTGTCTGCTGCTCCAATCTGAAACTGAAAACCAGCTTTTGGTATTGTGTATATATGCCTTACATGTAAAACGTATTATGTATATAAAGAAATTAATGAATCCTGGTGAATCCGCTCCCTGCGTGGGCTTTCTGGATTTGATTGCTGCAACAAACTCTGACACGGCCTACCGCAGAAATGGGAGAAAGGCTCTGTTGTAATTTACAGAATTCAAATGGCTTTTATTATTCTTCTCCTTTCCTTCAGCCCTCCCTCATCGGGGGTCCTTCAGAGGGGGCTGGATCCCAAAGTCCAACGTGGGAAAAGCTGGCTGAGGATGAGGGGGGATTTACAGTGAGGTCCGGAACCGCTTTTAAAAGGAAGCAGAGAACAGGGCTGTTCATGTGGCATTGTGCAAGGCGACTTCCTCTAAAAACATATAACCTGAAGCCGTTTCTTCTCCTTTTGGAGTGTCTTAGGAACTGGTCTGAATCCTGGTAGGCATCTGAGGAGAGTAAAAACCCTCTGGTAAAATAGGCTGTCCTCCGTAGAGACTCTGATGTTTGAGTAGGGCGGCCTTCGGATCGAAACTCTTCCCAAGTTCAGGATGCGCGTAAGACCGCTGGCCTCGGTGGATGTGCTGGTGCCTGGTCAATTTATCCCTCCGAGAGAAATTTCTCCCACATTCGGGACACTTGAAGGGTTTTTCTCCCGTGTGGGTTTTGTGATGACCCATTAAGTGGACTCTCTGCCGAAAACATTTCCCGCACTGGGCGCATTCGTAGGGTTTCTCCCCCGTGTGAATCCGCTGGTGCCTCAGCAGAGGCTCTCGCGACGTGAAGCTCTTCCCGCAAGCCAGGCACTCGTGCAGCTTCTCGCCCGTGTGGATCTTCTGGTGTTTGGCCAACGTTTGTCTGTGTCGGAAAGATTTCCCACACTGGGCGCACCGATGCCGCCTCCCTTCCGTCTGAATGCCTTGATCCCTCTTTACAGCCTTCCAGTTTTTACCGTCTTTCTCACCCTTCGGACGTTCGCACGGTTCCTCTGGGTGACTTTTCAGGTATCCGGTCCAATCGTCTCCCAGGCAGAAGCCTTTCCTCACCTCCAAGGGTTCAGCTTCTTGTTCAGCTGAATGGATCCTCTGATGTTTATCCAAGTAACATTTCTGCTGGATCGCTTCCTCCAAAGAAGGACGTGGGCAGGATCTCCCTTGCGCCTCCACAAATCCTGATTTGTAACAGCACTTTGGTGCTGGCGGCAGGGCCTTCCTCCCGTCTGTCTGCGCGGTGGGGTTCTCCTGGACGGCCGTCATAAGGTCTTCGGAGAGGTCCCACCATTCATTCCTCCCCTTTCCTGGCGTCTTATTATCCACTTGGAATTCCCACCTCAGTCCATGAATATTAGAGGAGGCAGGAAACGTCCACTGGGAATTGTCTGCTGAAATCCTGGGTGTTCCTTCCAGCACTATCTCTCCCCGCTGAGAATGTTCCATCTTGATCCAACCCCGGCTGTCACCTGAAGAAAGAAGAAAGGAAGGTCTGTAGAGATTCTCAACCGTCCAAGTCATGGTCGGTCCAAAGGTGCTTTTTCCAAAAGGCAACTGGACTTGTTTTATTTTTCTTTGAAAACGTTTCGAAATGTTTTCTTTTCTTTAGCAGATTTTTTTTATTATTTTTTTCCCTTCTACAACACCTTACAGTCATTACATCAACATTGTTATGTCATCATACCTGTACATGTATATAATATTTCGCTTCTATATTTACACACCTTTATACACGGTTCTATATATATATATTTATATATATATTGTTTTTTGGCTTAATTAATTTTAGTCTTGTTTTGCAGCCATTTGTACCAATTGTTCCAAATTTCATAATATTCCGACTCTTCTTTATCTTTTAATTTCAGTGTTAATTTATCCATCTCTGCACAATCCAAAGTTTTTTTAATCACTTGGGTCTCAAGGCTCCAAGGGGATGTTAAGGCTTACATTGTAGCATTAACTTCTAGTACTGTAGTATCAGGGGTGGGTTTCTCGCCCCGTTCCAACCGGATCGGTTGGAACGAGGCCGGCGGCGTCCTCGTGCATGCACGCACGCAGCGCGCGCATGCGTATTAGCATCTGCGCGATGCTCCAGCTGCTCCTGGAGGATCGCGCAGGCGTTC